GAAGGCCATCGAGCTCAAGGCTGCCAACGCTCTCCTCCTCAAGGTCAACCAGATCGGTACCCTCACCGAGTCTATCCAGGCCGCCAAGGACTCCTACGCTGACAGCTGGGGTGTCATGGTTTCTCACCGTTCCGGTGAGACTGAGGATGTCACCATCGCTGACATTGTCGTTGGTATCCGGGCTGGCCAGATCAAGACTGGTGCCCCGGCCCGTTCCGAGCGCCTTGCCAAGCTCAACCAGATCCTCCGCATCGAGGAGGAGCTTGGCGAGAACGCCATCTACGCCGGCGCCAACTTCCGCAAGTCTGTCAACCTGTAAAGTGGTTTAGCGATTACGAAGATGAGCTTTTGAGTTCCATAGTCCGATGACAGTATTCTTTTCGGAAGACTCGGCAGGACTGGGGTGAAAAAAATTGATGAGACACGTATGGCGTATGGGAAATGCGCAACGGAGGGACGAATGGGAGCATCGATGATGAAATTCGTAGCTTACCGCACTTTATCCTAAAATGAAAAAAGAACAAATATCCCCCATTTTTTGAGAGCTTGAAAGGTACCCAAGAGATATTGTGTATTTGATATCCGCTACTATGCGGGAAAGGACTGCCATTGAAGTGTATCGACCACCACGCTGCGAGCATTTCTAACAGGCACGTAAAGATAGATACATTACGTGAGGCCCCTGCCAACGTCGGCCGCAAGATAAGACCGATTGGGTGACACTGTTCAGAGTAACTTTTGGTAGGCGTCGTTGGCCAAGTCAGTATCCTTATGTAATACAAGCAGCCAAGCTTCGGCTCTCGATGCGGCTAGCGCTATTTTTCCTTGGACCACCAGAAGACGTGGGATGTGGACGTGGAGCTGAACACACACACACACACACCGCTCAGTGCCCCAGTACCCCAGTACCACACTCAGCTTGTGGCCCAATCACTTGGATTCAGGCTGGTTGCTACAAGGTGTGCCATGCCTGAGCTGAAGAAATGCAGCAAAGAGTAGCCTCGAATTGCCTCGGATGACAAAAGTTGGCAGCTCGAGGAAAGGTGGGAGGCACCGTGCACGACCTCAAACTCCCGTTCCCCCCTTACACAGTAGGGGCTACAAGTTCACAGCCAGCCAGAGGGCTTGCGAGCACGCGTAACTATCAATATCATCCTCTTATTCTCCCATCAATTACGGATCCAGTCTATGTTGCACTGCGCATTGCAGACGCTCAGGACAAGACAGTCCGGATACAACCGGGGGTCGTCATTCATGAGACTATACACCAGACGAACAGAGAGAGAGCCTAGAACAACTGGCGGACCAGCAATACCGCCGCGTCGCAACGTGGATACCGAGTCAGTCTTCACTACTTTCCTTTTCCTTTGTTCTTCTCTTCTGTACGAATTGTGGCCTGGCGTATCTCCCCTACTCTGCTTCTGCGGCTCTCTCCCTATCAAGCACACGGCCCGTATTAGACGCGGCCGATGCTTCACATGCTGCGTACCGTCGCTGCCGCTTCATGAAGGCTAGTTTTGGCTTAGCATCTATCACATTCCACTTGACGCGCGGGCAATCCTTTCTTTGCCTTAATTACCTACCCCAGACCACCTTGTCGGGCTCAGACTCGCATTGAAAGCAGATGTGCTTCTACTTTTAGCGTCCCCATGCACCGTGGAGCCAAGAGCCGAGTCGTCCCCTGTCCTACTCCATCCGCATCCTATCTATGTAATATCTACCTTACCGATATCTGCGTCATCTTCGCTATCTGTGAGGCGCCAACATTTGTTGTCTCTTGCGGTCACCCTGTTACCAACTCCCCACCACCACTCTAGACTTTGTTGTTGTTGCAACTTCCCGGCTGTAACTAACTCCCCGGCTATCTAGCAACCTAAGCAATCCACTCGGATTGTGACAGGCGAGAGCGTGGGGGCAGCCCCTAACTTGCCACTCTCCACGTGGGTGTCTCGCGCCGTCTTCTTACCATCACCGCCGATTTCCCCCGCCAAATATCCTGTAGCTCACTTGTTACGTACGACTGAGCTCTGTCTACACGTCAACCATCCTATCGACCCTAGCTCCAGTCATATGCCGCATCGCCTTCGCCTGCACTACTTGTTTTAGTATCACGAAGGGCACATCCAGACAGCCATACTATGTCGGAGCGCACCCGCCGGGCACGCCTCCAGCTTCCGGAAGAACGGCCGCTGCTGCAACGGAACCGTGCCAGTCACACCTCCGAGATTCAAGTTCCTCTCTATGGATGCATGGTCAATCCTCACAGTCACTTACCAGTATACACAAACATTCACCGTATTCGACGAGACATCATTTCCATTGTCGAAGACTACCTGAGTCTGGAACAACTTCGCGATGTGCGTATCAATATCGCCGTCGTCCGCCCGCTTGTCGACAAATTGTATGAGCTCGACGACATCTCCATAGGTACGTCCAAATTCCACTGTCTCTCACACCGCTGTCTCGCAGAAACCAAGCTCGGCGTTGCAGCCGAGATCGATACTGGTTGCTCGGAGTTGTTTTGTTGCAGATTAACTGACCATCGCTAGTTTACTGCCTGCTCGTAAACCGCGCTCAGTTTCTATACGAGCAGTCTCACTTGAATAATCGGCAAAATGTCAATTACAGTCGCGCAGCTCTCTGCGAGCTGGTGGCAACGCGGATATTGAGACGCTTCAGCGAAGACAATGAAGGGCCTGATGGTTTAGTGCTGCTAGCACACATCTTGGTGGCCGGCTTTGAGCCCTTTCAGATGGCACCGGCCGGAATTCGTGAGGCGGCCTCAACCGAGTCCTATCGCAGCTACAACCGCATGCTTCCTTCGCTTGAAGTTGCCATCTTGACTGAGAGTAAATACTTCCTCAGTGCTACTCCTTGTCAGAAAGTGTACGTTCTCGCCATGTGGGCCAGAGCCTTGAGCATGTACTGACAACCGTTCAAAGCGTCGATGCCATCTACGAAGGCCGTATTATCTACACCCCTTCGAGTTTTATGGACATTATTCCAGACCACTACAAACTTAAGCCCATATCGCTGTACAACCCACGCGAGGGGCCACTGCTTGACCAATATCGACTCCTTGTGCCTCGTACCAGGAACATTCTCGAGGTTTTCCAGTTCCTGGTTTTGCTGGCTCTCTATCTCTTTGTCATGGCGGAGCGGAGACCAGAGACTTTCACCTTCTTGGAAGGTTGCTTCGCCGTCTATGCCTTTGGGTGGTCACTCGACCAGTTTGCTACGATTTTGGAACATGGCTGGTAAGGATGCTCAACCCACTGTGTAACCGCAGTATCACTGACTACCAGACAGGCACGTTTACACCCAGAACCTGTGGTCCTTCCTTGATGTCGGTTTCATTGGCATATACATTGTGTACGCGGTACTGCGCATCCATGGGGCTCGAGTTGGGGAACTTGTTCCAAAACAACAAGCTCTTGATGTACTTGCCATGGGAGCCCCAGTGCTGGTCCCGCGCCTTGCTTTTAATTTGCTATCGGACAACCTGGTGTTCCTCTCCTTGCGGTCCATGATGTCAGACTTTGTCCTCCTCACATTCTTGTCAGCGTGGTGCTTCGGCGGGTTTTTGCTTTCGCTCCTGTGGCTCGGCGAAGGCGCACATCCTCCTGTGTAAGCTATCCGTGAGAAACCCCCCTTCCACAAGCAGCCTCTAATTCAAGTACAGCACTATCAGTAAGTGGATGCTCTGGATCTGGTTCGGTCTTGACGGGACGGGCATCAACGAATCGGTAGGAGCCACTTTCTCTCTCCCTTCTTTCTTATTGGGGACCAAGGTTAATATTCTTTTCACCAGGTACAATTTCACCCAATTCTAGGTCCTGTGCTGATGGTCGCTTTCGCTTTTCTGGGAAACACTTTGTTCCTCACTATCCTCGTCTCGATGCTTTCCAACACATTTAGCACGATCGTCAAGAACGCGACTGCAGAGATAATGTTCCGCAAGGCCGTCTTGACACTTGAAGGAGTCAAGGGCGACGCCATCTTTGCGTACCAGCCCCCCTTCAACATCCTGGCCGTCTTTATTCTTATTCCGCTCAAATTCATCCTCACTCCGCGATGGTTCCATAAGATACATGTAGCCAGCGTTCGGCTAGTCAACCTTCCGCTGCTACTGATAATCGCGGTAGCGGAACGCAGGATTCTTTGGCCAGCGCCGCAGCCGGAAAAGAAACAATCTAGCAGCCTGACGCTATACCCGAGGGTCAAGCAGTGGTTCTGGGAGAAGTGGCGCATAACGGCCCACCGCGACATAAGAGCCGTGTTTGACCTGCCGCCGCCCGAGTCCGTCGAGGAAGAGATTGCAGTGGACGACGAGCTCACGCACCACCTCATCCGGCGACAATTCACGCGGTCCATTACGAATGACACCATGCGGAAGAAGTCGCCTCTTAGGAGAGATTCGATGTTCCCGGGCGTGTCGTCCAAGTTGCGCGGGTCCTTTACGGGAAGCGAGGATATGCAAGACGTCGGCAGCAGATTGGATTCTCTCGAGCAAACGTCCCTGAGAATCGAGGCCCTGCTGGCGCGCATGCTGGACGCCGAGGATTACTCTGATCGGGGCTTCGGCACTGGGGAGAGCAGCACCCTTCGTGATGGGGATGCGCCTCTGACCCAGTCACCGAGCTAGCTATGTACTTGTAGTGCACACATGGGCAGGCTCGGGGATGCGAAAGGGCTCTCGTGTATTATGCTATTGATAAAAGTAGAAGGCAAGCCTAACAGTATGGAATAGAGTATCTCCAAAGGCAACGTAACTCACATACGCACAATGTGACGGGCATATCTGTCCCCCGTTTTTGTAAGCTGAAGCTGGAAGGTAACATCTAGCCTGCACTTACCACTTACCTTCTCAATACTTCACCTTTTACTCATACTTCCTCTTCATTCCACAACGATCAATCGTAACAACATCACAAAAAAAAGGCTTCTCCGACGTCATCGCTCCCTTGGCACCTCAAGAAGTTCAAGAACGGAAAAGAAAAATGTGCCAAGTCTTCATCTACAAGCACGTCAAGTGCAAGTGCATTTGGGGCGAGATCGCCATCCCCTGCGGCCCCGGCATGGGCTACACGACATGCGGACAATTCGGCAGCGGCATCGCCAAGAAGCCTCTGCGGCTCCAGATGGCGGACAAGCGGCCGTGTCCGACACACGACCTGTACGGGCTGTATGACCGCAACCAGGCGCGGGTGATCAAGAAGATCTCGCACGGTATCAAGATCGGGACGGGGCCGAGTAAGCAGGACGCCGGGATCGAGGTCGCCTGCTGCGCTGTCATGTGAAGGACGGTGGTTGACGGATATTATTTGAGGCGAAAATGCAATGCAAGAGACGAAAGGAGGCACGTGGGAAGGGTCGAGGTGGTCTGGGGTGGGGTGGAGTTGCCAAGATGGGTAAGTGAAGCTGGTGACTGGGGGGGAGGTTGAGGCGCAGATGGGTTAGAGCTGGGGCTAACGTGTATTTACCCAGGGCCAAGACGCGATGACGATTCTAGCTGATGGGAGTTGAATGGACCAGAAATTTTCTTCTGCGTGGTTCGATTTTAACAACCGAGGAGACGGGAGAGGGCAATGGCGGGGGGGAAAGCGAGCAAAAGAAGAAAAAGCGAGGGTCTGAACACCGGGCTGTTGGGGTTTTCGGGGGTCGGGGTAGCTCGACCGAATGACAGACGTACTGGAAGTAGTAGCAGTTGCAGCACACTTGGCGGTACCATACCTTAACTACCACGAGGATGCTGCGTAATGATCAGTGACGACTGGGAGCTTTCTCGTCCAAGTTGATAACTCGAGTCATGGAATTAACGTTTCTACCGCATAGAGAAGAGTAAGATTGAAGGTCCGAGCTGGTGAATAATCCCCCTAAGTATTTATCAGTTCTTGAGAGAGCGCAATATCCCTCCCTACCCGAAGCAGTGCCGGCCGGCCGGACCTGGAGCTGTTTATTTCCCCTCTTTTCGGGCTTCCTTTCAAAAAAATTACCTACCGTCTCCCCACTCTCCTTTCCCCGATTCACCCCACGCTTTCCTCATCCTGTCCCTCTCCCCATGCGGGGAAACAGGAACATCAGACGTTTCCTCCCTCACTTGGTATTTTATGACCTTACTTAATTAACCATTCGTTTTGAGAGCACACCGTTGTTTTCGTCCTCCTGATGCGACAACGTGTCAGTCATGTAAGGTACCTTACGTTGGCTAGGGACTGCTCCCCACGACTCGTTTCTTCCATTCCATCTCAACACCGGAACAAGTTCCCCTTTCTAAGCCCAACTTCCAACCGCAACTTCACTTCTGTCCCCCCCGGTCAAGGTTCTCTCCGCTAGTGCCAATTTCTCCGCATGTCGCTGTTTAGACTCAAGATGAAAGGGGTCACATTGTCCAAGGGTCCATTGAAGTTGTTCGGGAACACATTGGATTGGTAGCCCGACCTCGATGGTCTCCCCCAGAGCTTCCCCACACCCAAGCCATGGATGAATATGTCGGCTTTCCTTTTAGCCTGAATACAGTACTTCGTAGTTAACCCCATCTGCTCATCACCGCTGTCGGCCGGTTACATTGGCACCCGGGAACCCTTGGAGACTTCGGAGTCGACAAGGCCTGGGTTGTGGGAACAATAATGTTTTCCTGTTCCTGGTCCTGCGAGTCCCGCAGATCTGGGAATCCCACCTCCAGGTGACGCTCGCGCGTTGATGAACGAACCCGCGCTTCTTCTTATAAGCTCGCACGCCCCCGATTCCACCATGTAAACAGGTCTTTTGGAGCAAGTGCTTCTTTCCAACTGGTTCTCGCCAGCAGCACCTCTTTCCACCGACCGCACGTCATGTGGAAGCTTCTTTTCCTTGCTTCTCTCGGCCTCGTTGCCGCAGAGGACGGCCTCGACGGCTGGTTGCGTTACGCTCGCCTGCCAGACTGCAAGTCTTCCGGCGTTGCTGACTCCCTCCCCTCTACCGTCATCGGCCTCAATGCGACAGAAAACGGCCCAATTGTTTCTGCTCTATCCGAGTTGACCAAGGGCTACTCAGGCATCCTCGGTAAAGACGTCTCTGTCGGCCAGGACGCCTGTGCTGCTGCTTCCGTTGTCATTTCTACTGTCGATGACTACGTTGCTGCTTGTGGAGGTGACGGTGTCGAAGCGGACCTCATTGAGGATGGCTTCTGGCTTAGTGTCAAAGGTGACGGCGTCAAGATTCTGGGACAGAACGAGAGGGGCGCTCTCTACGGTACTTTTGAATACCTAAGCTTGTTGGCCCAGGGCAACTTCACTGAAGTAACCTATGCGACAAACCCTTCGGCTCCTGTCAGATGGGCAAACCAATGGGACAACATGGATGGCACAGGAACTCATGGCAGCATTGAGCGCGGTGTAAGTAACCTTCTCTCTCATTCTCAACCCATCATCGAATACGAACATGTCTGAATTGAGCAGTACGGAGGTGTTTCCATCTTCTTCGAGAACCTCAAGGTCGTCACCGACATGACCCGCGTCTCCCAGTACGGCCGCCTGCTGGCCTCCGCCAGAATCAACGGCATCATCGTCAACAACGTCAACGCCAACGCCATCCTCCTCTCCCCCGAGAACATGGACGGGTTGAAGAGGATCGCAGACGTCTTCAGGCCATGGGGTGTTCAGGTAGGCATCTCCCTCAACTTCGCCTCGCCCCAGACATACGGCAACCTTTCCACCTTTGACCCCCTCGACGAGAGCGTCATTGCCTGGTGGGGAAATATCACCGACGAGCTCTACGCGCGCATTCCCGACATGGCTGGATACCTGGTCAAGGCCAACTCAGAGGGTCAGCCCGGCCCCCTGACCTACAACAGGACGCTGGCAGACGGCGCCAACCTCTTCGCCAAGGAGCTCAAGAACCACGGCTCCAAGGAGGGCATCGTCATGTTCAGAGCCTTTGTCTACGACCATCTCACGCTGAACCAGTCCGACTGGCGTGCTGATCGCGCCAACGCCCAGGTCGAGTTCTTCAAGCATCTCGACGGCCAGTTTGACGACAATGTCATTGTCCAGATCAAGTACGGCGCCATTGACTTCCAGGTCCGGGAGCCCGTGTCGCCTCTGTTCGCCAACCTGAAGAACACGAGCATGGCCATCGAGCTGCAGATCTCTCAGGAGTACCTCGGCCAGCAGGACCACTTGGTCTACCTCCCTCCTCTCTGGAAGACGATTCTCGACTTTGATTTGCGCATTGACGGCCAGCCCTCTGTTCTCAGTGACATTCTGTCTGGCAAGCGCCTCAACAGGCCTCTCGGTGGCTACGCCGGTGTCATCAACGTTGGCGCGAACTCGACCTGGCTTGGTAGCCATCTGGCCATGTCCAACCTCTACGCCTACGGTAGACTTGCGTGGAACCCCACTGATGACGTTGTCACTATTCTCCAGGACTGGACCCGTCTGACATTCGGCGTCGACCGAAAGGTCGTCGACACCATTACCAAGATGTCCATGGAAAGCTGGCCCGCCTACGAGAGCTACAGCGGCAACCTGGGCATCCAGACTTTGACTGATATCCTCTATGCCCATTACGGTCCTAGGTAAGCAAGAATACGCTCAAACATTTCCAATCCAAGACTAACTCCAAGTTCAGCCCGCGCAGCCAAGACGGTAACAGCTGGGGTCAGTGGACAAGAGCAGACGGAGACAGCATCGGCATGGACCGCACGGTGAAGAACGGCACCCGAAACGCAGGGCAGTATCCTCCCGAGGTGGCGGCCATGTACGAGGAGATCGAGACGACCCCCGACGACCTGCTCCTCTGGTTCCACCACGTGCCCTACACGCACAAGCTCAAGAGCGGCAAGACGGTCATCCAGCACTTTTACGACGCGCACTACGACGGCTCAGCCACGGCGCAGACGTTTGTGCCGCAGTGGGAGTCCCTCAAGGGCCTCGTCGACGAGGAGCGTTACGAGCACGTGCTCTTCAAACTCAAGTACCAGGCCGGCCACTCGCTCGTCTGGCGCGACTCCATCAACAACTTTTACTGGAACAAGTCGAGCATCCCCGACGAAGCGGGACGCGTGGGCAACTACAAGTACCGCATCGAGGCCGAGCACATGACGCTCGACGGGTACAAGGTCGTCGACGTCGACCCCTTTGAGGCGGCGTCCGGGTACAAGGCCATCGTGACGAGCTCCAACACGACAGCTGGAACGGCATCGGCCACGGTCGAGTTCGAGACTGGAACGTACACCCTCGCCGTCAACTACTTTGACGTCATTCGGGGAAAGTGCTCGTACGTCGCGTACATCAACGACGTTGTTGTCGGCCAGTGGAGGGGTAACAGCGAGGAGAAGCTGGGCCACTGGCCGTCTGAGTTCTTGGATGGGCACTCTGCTATCCGCGTCAACTTCCCTGGTGTCAAGGTGACCAAGGGCGATGCGCTGAAGATTGTCGGCACGCCTGACGGGCCGGAGGTGGCTCCTTTGGACTATGTCAGCTTCTTACCTGATGGTATCATTGACTAGACCTGTTGTTGGATTTTCGAGCAAGCAGACATCATTTTGTAGTAAATATTCAAGATTTATGAATTCTTCACGATTATATATACATAAATTCAATTTGTGTACATTTTGACAAACCTTCCTGTTGACCGCAAACGCATTGTAACGCAGATGGATGAATCGTGATTTTGTTCTGTGGTTGGTGTAAGTGATATGAACCCCACAAATTTCATCCGACTCTGAACTATCTCAGAATTTGACTCTCTTCACCCTAAATTTTCATCGAGCCATCGTCTCTCGAGCTTCAGATCAACGGGCCGCGCGTACGAAGCCCAGTAACTAGAGCATACGGACGGACTCAGCACAAAGACGTTGAATCTGAAACCATCTGGAAGAACCACAAAACCCAGGAAATATCCCGTGAGAAATAACCCCCCCTCTCAACCTCGTTCTCAGTGAGACTTACACACACCCCTCACAGGCCTCATCCAACATGCTTCCCACACCAGATACCTCCCACGTCCCATTCGAGCGTGTCTACGAGCCGGCAGAGGACTCGTACCTCCTCCTAGACACCCTCTCAGCCTCGTCAGAGACATCTTTCCTAACATCCCGCTTCGGCACCGAAACAACAACATCAGAATCAAAGTCAAGACCAGCAGCCCCACTGGTAGTCGAAATCGGCACCGGCTCCGGCGTAGTAATAGCCTTCCTCGCCGCCCACGCCGCAACCCTCTTCGGCACACCCTCGGTCCTAACCGCAGGCATCGACCTAAACGGCCACGCCTGCCGCGCCACAACCTCCACCGTCCGCCGCGCCGTTGCCGACAACCCCGCCACGGCCGGGCCCCTCTGGCTCGGCGCCGCCATGGGCGACCTCACGAACCCGCTCAGGCCCGCCAGCGTCGACGTCCTCGTCTTCAACCCGCCCTACGTCCCGTCCCCAGAGCTCCCCGCGCAGTCCTCGGCCACGCTCGTCGCGGACGCCGCCAAGCAGACGACGTTTGACGAGGACTCGTACCTACTCTCGCTGTCGTACGCGGGCGGGCGGGACGGGATGGAGACGACGGACCGGTTGATTGAGGCGTTGCCTGGGGTCTTGAGCGCGAGGGGGTGCGCTTATATTCTGCTGTGCGCGCAGAACAAGCCGGACGAGGTGAAGGGCCGGATCGAAGGGTTTGGGGCCGGGTGGAGGGCCGTCACTGTCGGGGAGAGCGGGAAGAAGGCTGGGTGGGAGAAGTTGCAGATCATCAGGGTGTGGAGGGAGACGGAGGGGAGCCCTCGATAGAGAAACGTGAATGAGTTGTGGCTCTCTATCTATCATCTTGAGATCTCGTTGACCTGCGCACATCTTTGAACTTGCTAGCGAGCGAGCCACATGGGCACAGCTAGTTGCGAGGATTGTAGTTCCTTTTACTGGAATTGTATTCTTTTATTCCCCAACCACCCCCAACGCCTGAATAGCATCCGGTTGGTCTTAATGTGTAGGGGTACCCCGTCTTTTTTCAAGCTCAGGGCCCCAAGTTGTAAAATAAAAAAGTTCATCGACGGTTCGTCGTCTCTGAGGGGGGGATTTTGGCATAGATAATATCCCCCTTTCAAGAGTTCTTTCATGATTCCACAAATGACCATTCCGTCTTTCTTCCTCGGGCAAACAGAAAAGACTCTCTCGGCGCCCGTCAAAATCCCGAATGTTTGGTCCAGAAACAAAGACAGCAGTGGGTTGGCGTCGGTCTTTGTCGAACGAATTTGCGCGGTCTCCCATTTTCCCCCATTAAAATCCCAACTCAACCGCGTCCGCGACCGCGTCCCCGACCACGGCCTCTTCCTCTGGGACCGCCTCTTCCTCCACGGACAGGGCCGCCGCGCTCCGCCTCCTTGCGCGCCTTGTTCTTGGGCTTCGGTTGGTCGTCGATTAGCAGTGTGTCAAGCGGCAGCGAGTCGGGCAGGATAAAGTATCGAATCGTCGAGCCGCGGATGTTCATGGTATCGAGCGAGACGGCGTCCTGGCCCCGGGGGGTCATCTTGACTGTGCGCAGCGCCGTGTTCATCTGCGGCGAGACCGAGGTGATGGTGCCGTGGACGATGGTGCCTGTGATTTCGCAATACGCGTTAGTCTAGAGTCCTGCAAATGGGTTGCGCATCTTTATAGAGGTGCGGAAGGCAGAACAAGGTGGCTACTGACCATTCTTGAGTTCGATCGTCACCGTCTCATTGGCACACTTCATCAAAAATCTAAATGTTGCAAGTTCTGGTCAGCTTTGCTTGTGGCCTCGTTTTACGGCGAGCGGCCTTCTGCATCTCTGAGAAGGCTCAGCACACAGAATGACGGCAAAGGGAGGGAAAGAACAGTCAATTGCGCGTACCTGACGAGTTTCATTTTGGCGGTGGCGTTCGTGCGTTGAGCGTGTCGTTCGTAAAGTGGAAAGGCGGCTGGATGCGAGACCTCGCGACTGAGGATGGCAGTCCTAGGTGACGGAAGGCTGAAGCTTCGGAAAAGGTGCTATCCCGTTTCTGGGAAGTGGGGCGACTAAGGTGAGTCTTTGGTCACAACAGCTCGGTCCACGTGACCCTCCTCACATCTTGTCATGTCAACCTTATGGCGTAAAGGCGAAAGCAAATTACACATTAAAGAGCAGCTATCTCTAAAATCTCTAATCAATGGAATCAGGAACATACTCCCGCAACTAATCTTTGCCTCGTCGTAACGTGGAGACGGCATCAGCCGAGGCTCAGCACGAATCTCTCCACCATGGGACCCCATCTTGGAAGCTCCCACTCATGCCTGGATGCTTGAACATGGGCGCTTGCAATCTGGATGTGTAGGCTATCTATTGTTCTCGCCTTAATTTCGGTCGATCCTTCTCCGACAATCCGAATTTGCAGATGACTTTCAAGGTACGGTACGATTTCATCGGGTTCGAGCCCAGAGATGGTTCGCGCCGAAACCATGTGCATCAAGGCCGATGTCAGAGGAACCGTCCCGGACACATGGTTGCCTGAACCCATATTTTTCATCGCAAAAATGCTCATTGATCCGACGAGATTTGGTGCAGTTGCCCAAGCAGTGGGTTCTTCGAGTGCTTCACCTAGGAAGAAATGGATCGCAAACGAGCCATTCAACGCTCCATTCTGAACATGGATATTGGCGATCCATTCAGTGTAGATGTCATCCTCGGTCGCTACTTTGGTCTGAAAGTCTGGATCTTGTGAAAAGTCCAGCACATGCTTTGAACTAGTCCCTTTTCGAACTTGGGATAGCGGTCCCCATTCTCTTTTGGACGCGGCTCTTCGTTGCTTCCAAGCTAGACCCGAGGGACTGGACGAGCCGTAGAGTCTATTGATGGTTGCTATGAGGCGAGCTTGTTCTTCGGACTTGTGGATTCCCAGACTTGGGTTTGTTTCCGCGTACGAATATCCGAAGGCTGTGGTGTCTCTGGCCATCGCCGAGTTCCAAAAGGTGCCATTGGCGTCCGCATAGAATGGCTTAAGTTCCGTAAGCCAGTTCTGAACGGTCCCCGACGGCATGGTGAAAGAAGGCTCCATTGCGACCTGGGAAGTGACCCAGGCGGTAGGGTACAGGACTTGCCACATAGCGACAATTCGTTCCACCATAGTATGGTGCAAGAAGAACACTGGATCGAATGCCGAATACTGAATGTAATACAGATGGCCGCGGTCGCCCACCAATACATGCATGGCATCGTGTAGAGCCTCCACCGAGTCGTATTGCGTCTGATTCGACGCCGTCCCCCAATATTTGTTACTGAAGGGTTCGAAGTCCTTGTAATTGGAAAGGAGAGTATAGAGTCTTTGCTGAAGCGCAGGTCTGGCATGCTCAATCGCGTGCGCTATGCTCTGGTTGTCCGTTGTCTCGAAGGGAGCTCTCATTGTCTCTGTCCAATAGGGAAACTTGTACTATCAGGATTCTACTCTTTGATCAAGTCGGTGCCACTACTTACATCGCCTTGGGAAAAGACCTGTGGGTCCAGCGGCCGGAACTTGTAGCTGTATAACGGGTTGGCAATGGTCTGCCACCCGTTGGGACCATATACTTGGATTGCAGGCTCCTCGAATTCAGATAAGTAGACGTTTTCTCCGAGCGGCGGTGTAGTGGCCCAGTCCCAGTATGGAATTCGGAAGTCTATCGCAGCGGCTTGATAGTAAGCTCGTTCCGTTGGGTCTGGGAACCATGAAGCAATCAGCTGCACGAGTTGGAAGAGTATTTGCTATTATGGTGTTAGCGGTTATGTATCTGGCGTCACAGCTTCGTGGGGTCTGACCTCGTATAAAGCAAGATATACGCGGTGCCACGATGGGAAAAGAATGGACATGTGGGTGCAGTAGCCCCTTTCTTCGCCTCCCGGTTCGCCGGGTACGCCGTTCCATGGAACGAATGGAACACCGTGGATACCTGTTGCATATCAGAAAGCCGGTCGACACGATAACGGCCAGTCAGTCTCACCTGCGATCTGATACCACGACAACTGTTCGCTTTGATTTGTGAACTGGAACATGCTTGACGCGAGGAGAAAAAGATTCCATTTGAAGGGGTTGTCCTTCATCTCTCTGATGTCGGGGCGGTTGGGAATAGTTCCGTTTATAGAAGGCAGCTTGGTGACAATGATTGGATCCTGCGTCTGACGCTTGACCAACTTGGCCGCGTCGAAGCCATAGTCGTAGGCCGACGGGGAGGGTATGGCCACTGCGGTAGTAGCGAGGATGATAAGAGATAGAAGCATGGCGCAGCGGATCGCCTTTACTGCGCCTTTTTAGCGGTCGACTGGGTTGAAGTCAAGAGTTATGAGAAGGTTGACGAGGACAATGGATATTGGTGTTCGCGTAGTATGATACTGAGACGTGGTAGATGTCAGAGGGTCGTAGAATGAGCTGTCCAGGTCGATCAAAATTTCGGCACAGCCAGATTGCCTTGAAGAAGGAAACCAGGTGTGACGATGACAGCAAGATGATCGTGTTCAAAATTCCGGGGTTGTTTGGATGTTGATGAGTGCCGGACTCGACGTCCAAATCGTGACGGAAACAGCGTGGCCGAAAGAAATGTTGAAAAGGGCGGATTGAACGATATTAAACACGCCAATGTACTACACTTTGGGCACCTTAGTCGCGGAAGGCAAACACGATGTGAGTGGAACGCCGCATAGCCGTGATGGTACGGTGCTTGCGTAAGTAAATTCCTTGTTTTCGGATGGTAATCTCCAGATCCAGAGTAAAGAAGGAAGGTATCGAGACAAGGTACATTTTCACGGTGTCATACTTTTCTTCAGAGGAAAGAGCGAGGTCATGAGCCACTGGTGAGAGGAGGGGGCCAAAGGAGAAGGTACAGGTTCTTGCCCTCGGTATCCTGTGGGCACGAAACGTGCGGTGCCTTCCTATCCACCTACACCAACGTAACATGCCTTACCTTCTCTCGCCGTTCCACAGCACAAATATCGTACCTCGGGTACTTGGCTTCAGAGTCAAATACATAGTGAACAAAATCTAACGATGATAGCTGAGAAATCAGGGCGCCGTGACACGTCAAGCCAGGTGGAATGATTTGACCAAAGTAAAAAGGTACTGATGATACGAGGGCAAGCTTCAGCATAGGTAGCTGTCTTCGGGTGAATGAAGCCAGACCGGTATGAAGATCTCACTGACTCAATCTCAAACATCTTGGTTGCCTATGGCGGCTCGTGGCATTTCTATATCAAGCCACCCTGGAAGTGAGCTACATCAGCTTCCCGTCCGACCTCGGTTTAAGATGACCAAAAAATGGAAGCATTCACAGCTACGATGAGCCACATTTGTCTACCTTGGAATACCACGAGGTCTCTCAGGTACGCCACGACTTTGGTAAGCCGAATCGGTGCCATAGCCGACCGAAAACGCAGAGCATTCCCTCAGATCTGTGCCGCCAATCGACGGTCAAACTCAGCAAAAGGCGGATGCCGACATGGTGTGTACGATGTACACCCAAATGACTGTTTGTTGATTCGGTAACCTACATGAGACAAACGGTCCAGCATCTGATTGTGACCGCTCTACACATGTTGATGTTACGTGGTCCACGCTCGTACCATCTTTGTCGTTTGTCAAACCCCTTCGGACTTCGGCTTGGAGTCTCGAAGGCGAAGCTGATATTCGGTTGAGGAGCTAATTCCGAACACGGGAGCAGGATCGACGAATACAGTCACTAATCAGCACGAAACAGTTCTATCAGCATCTTGGACCTTTGTCCATTAGTAAGTCATGATTTATGTACAAGGTGGAATACATCTTTTGTCTACCAAACGCCGACGGTCTAAGCCTCTCTAAGGTAATGATTTCATGGGCTTCAAGGGGCCCTTGCGAGGCGCGTCCTTGGAGTCGATGCGATACTTCAGCTTGACACCCATAGCCGCCAACTCCACATCCAGGAACTTGAGCGCACCCGGAACAACGACAACCGTCGTGTTCTCGCCTCCGACCCACTGGTTACCCTGTCCGTCCTCCCAGATCTCTCCCTCCACCTTGGCGGCGCTCTCCGCGTCGCCGGCGTCGAGGCGGGTCGCGCAGTTTCTGCAACGCACTGTCGTGACCTGCTTCTTCTTACCCACAAATGGCGACACGGTTGGTTGGACTGAAAGGAACGAACCACAGCTTCGGCAGATCCAGGATCGCGTGTAATCGGAACAGTTGAGCAGACGATCCTGCAGCAGGAAGGCCGTGCCGTGAGCGAGCAGCGCGTCACGCTCCATCTCTCCCACACGAATACCACCACCACGCTTTCTACCCTTGATGGGCTGGCCGGTTGTCGGCACGACTGGTCCCGTCGTTCGCACTTGGTACTTGTCGTTGACCATGTGACGCAGACGCTGGTAGTAGACGACACCAACGTAGATGTCGGCGGCCAGTTCCTCTCCAGTGATACCAGAGTACATGGGCTCGTTGCCATGGTAATTGTACCCAGCCTTCATCAGCTGATGACCAAAGTAGTCACCGGCGGTGTTCTCCTCGTTAAACTTGAAGGGTGTGCAGTCTTGTGCCAATCCGTGGAGAGCGCCGGCCTTTCCAGCCAGTGACTCGACGAACATACCGATTGTCATACGAGAGGGGAAAGCGTGAGGGTTGATGATGATATCGGGCTGGATACCAGACTCGGAGAAAGGCATGTCGACGGCAGGCCATTTCTGGGAAGCGACACCCTTCTGTCCGTGACGAGAAGAGAACTTGTCACCGATGACAGGGGATCGGGGAACTCTGAGCTTGATGGAGATCGTCTGGGCAGGCTCGTTGCCCGACTCGCTACCGAGCACACGTACTTCCTCGACAAAGGCAGTCTCAGACTCCTTGTACTTTTCATAGTGTGTCTGTCCGTCCAGGTTGATCAGCTTGCCGCTGTAGTCTGCTGACACCGTGTGCCATGCGCAGAGCACATCTCCCTCCTGGACCATCCGTCCAACGTAGG